GAGGTCCAAACCTGAACATCACCAACCTTTCGGTTTACTACTTACCCATTCCAGAAAAAGCATGGCAATCCATTTCTATGGATTTTTTAGTGGATCTCCCTCCATCTCAACATTTTACCACTATTCTTGTCGTAGTGGACCGCCTCACTAAGATGTCCCATTTCATCCCTCTAAGGAAATTGCCCTCCTCAGCAGAATTATCTAAAGTTTTTATTGATAATATTGTAAAGCTTCATGGACTTCCTGAAGAAATTATTTCAGATAGAGGGACACAGTTTACCTCCAAATTCTGGAAAGAGATGTGTTCCTCCCTTCAAATTCAACGCAAACTCTCATCCGCCTATCACCCCCAAACTAATGGGCAAACGGAGAGGGTCAATCAATGCCTAGAACAATATCTGCGATGTTATTGTTCATACCTACAAGATGACTGGACCACATGGCTACCTATGGCTGAATTTTCTTATAACAATTCTATTCACACCAGTACGAAAATGACTCCCTTCTTCTCGAACTATGGGTTCCATCCATCTTCATTTCCCATCCAAACCATTGCTTCATCTAATCCTACTGTTTCATCCCGGGACGAGTTTATGTCCTCCCTATTTCACAAATTACGGGAGAATCTTCAACTCGCTTTAAGTAATCAGAAAAAGTTTTTTGACACTAAAAGAAAAATTCCTCCTAACTACAAAATAGGTGATCTTGTCTGGCTCTCTTCAAGGAATATAGCCACCAGTCACCCCTCAAAAAAACTGAGTTCTCTCTTTCTTGGTCCTTTTCAAATAATAGCAGTAATCAACGACAACGTTGTTAAACTAAAACTTCCTCCAAATGTCAAACTTCATCCAGTATTCCATGTCTCTTTACTTAAACCACATATCCCCGACCCTTTCAATAGGGAAGTGATGACCTCTCCTGAACCTATCATTGTTCACGGTGAAGATGAATGCGAAATACAAAAGATTTTGGATTCACAAATCCCCCGTGGCTCCCTGCAATACCTTATTAGATGGAAAGGTTATGGGGTTGATGAAGACACTTGGGAAGATTCATCTGTTGTTCATGCAGATAGATTGGTTGCTGCGTTCCACAGGCACTACCCCTCCAAACCAAGATGAAGTACACCCAGGGGGTGCTCCATAGGAAGGGGGTACTGTCAGGTTATACCTGCCGGTTTCGCCGAATTAAGCGACTTCCGGGTTGACGGAGCTCTGCCCCGCCCCTTCTCTGACGCGGTCTCCTCACGCTACATAGGAAGACCGCGCCAGATTCAAAGTTGCTGGATTATTGAACGAGTTCCTGTGAACCTCTTACCGGCTACCCAATTACATTCGAAGCTTTTCCGTGTACCGTACCCGCTCTGAAAACGACTACCCTCCTTCTCCACTCCTCGACCTCGGATTGTTAAACGGACTTCTGCTCCTACCCCCAAGGAACTGCTTAATTTGAACTCTCCAGTTTTCTGGAAACTGCTTCTGAAGCTAAGTACTTTTTTCCTTCAATCCAATTTTCTCTCAGTTGCAAAATATAAAGCTGCCTCATTGTTAAAAACTCATGAAGCTAATTCTACTGCATTTAATTCAACTCTAATTCTGCATGCATTCTCTGCACTATCCTTAATTGGGACTGCTTGGCTTTATGCAAAACTTCAGTGGCTTATTTTTTTCTGCAACTAACAACCTGCTATAAGGGTTTAAAGCTACAGTAACCACTCTTGCAATTCAATAACAAAAAAGAATAAAATTATAAATTGAAGTATTTAAAAGTTTTCTGCAGTTGTGTTCCAGTAGTTTAGCATTACATTGCACATGTCTACCTCATTCCTATTGAACAACAAACCACCCACAAATAGCCATCAATATTCTCACTAGGAGTGGGGCAAAGGACAGATTTGGGCTTCCCTACCTCTTCCACTGGTACTTGGGTACATGCTTTGTTAGAATTGTGGAATGGGGGGTGGCTAACTTCCGGACAAGATGGCTGCACTTGCTCCGGCCTGACACTCACATTGGCTACATACCCACAAGTGGCAATACCGCAACACAAGACTAAGAAGAGCTCTGCTAAAGTAGACACGCTCAACTTTTTCGATCTGAAATCTGTTCCTGAGCCTATGGCTGTCTCACTTGTGGCGCAAGATGGCGACGATGAAACTGACCATCCAACACTGGAAACGTTTAAAACCACGACGATGTCACCAACAGAACTAATTACAAAATCATACTTTACCCAAGCTCTTGAGGTGCTATCTATAAAATTAGTTTCCACTTGGCATACCACAGCAAATGAACTGAAGAAAGAAGTCAAGGAGAATGGAGGCTGTATATCTCACAAGGAAACAAAAATGGATGAATATGCTGTGGCACATAATCTGGCTTATCAAGTGCAATTACTAGAGCAAAAGATTGCAGGAATGGAAGCTAAAATGTTGGATACAGAGGATAGAGCACAGTGAAACATCCTTAGGCTCAGAGGGGTCCTGGAAACTGTCTGCCAGGAAGACCTACAGACCTATTCAGGGCGTATACCGCAGAAGTACCTGCAGACTTGTTCCTTGTAGATAGGGCACACCAGGTTCACAAACCGTGACACCTACCCAACACTGTCCACAGAGACATGCTCCTCAGAGCCCATTACTTTCATGTAAAAGACTTAGTTCTCTGTGCAAGCCGCAATAGAGTCCAACCTTCTGAGGATTATAACTCCATTTAAAATATTTGCAGATCTTTCATCTGGAACTCTCCAGAAGAGAAAATCATTGCAAGCCGTCAACATACTGCGCACTCACGGACTGATGTATAGATGGGCTACCCCACGAAAATGCTTTTTCTAAAATAAGGAAATACAATATCGCTGCAAACTCCAGACAAAGCCTTGACTAAGCTCCACGAATGGGGTCTACCGGCTCCATTTCCATGCTCTGCCTCAGGCTCTGCACGGAGGTTGAACCCGGAATGGCTTATTCATAAATCTGCTAAATATTCTCTCAGTAATGGGACTAGATCTTAATGTACCCATTAATGGCAATTTATGATAACTAGATAACTAGAAATTACTTATTTGGGGCTGAGTTGGTTTGAGGTTTGCGAGTGGCGAGGCCACTGGGTTGTGACCAAGTGACGCTCCCCCGTTGCAGGTATCTAGTGCCAATTGTTATTTTTGTTATGGTACAATGTATGGCAATATACACCCAAGCTTTACTATAAAGCTTGCTGCTGCCTTATCGGGAATCATTCCCAGATAACCCCTGTGGTGAAGTTGATAACCGACAGGGATGCTTGGTATGTAGCTACATTTGTTTTATTTTTGTTAATTTTCTTTTATTTTGTAAATCCGGTTAAAGGGTTAATTATATATAATATGTTATACTATGTTTGAGCTCATCGGCCACACACCAACAGACATAACTTTTAACTTTTTGGCAACAATAAAACTTCCTACCCTTTCACATTCTCATCAAATTGCCCTAACAACCATAGTTTCCAACCAAGAAAGTGAACAAAATATCTAACTCCTGGCAAATGGTCTCCAGGCCCAGATGGTTTTTCAATCTTTATTACAAATTGTTTGCCTCACTACTGGCACCTAAACTTGAGCTTACCTTTAACGATATAATTAAAACAGATACCATGCCACAAGATATGCTAGCAGTCCGTGTAGCCACCCTCTCTAAACCAGGCAAACCTCCAAATAAAGGCCAGAATCTACGCCCTATCTCACTTCTGAATTCAGATGTGAAGATACTTGCAAAAGTATATACAGTAAGACTCACTAGCATCATACCAGAGTTTATACATGGCGATCAAGTTAGGTTTGTGGGAAATAGGTATAGAGCAGATGGTACGAGGAAGGTATTGGACCTCTTGTATGAGCTGCCGGGGAGGGGTAGCACCCCTAGAGTATTCCTTTCCTTGGATGCTGAAAAGGCATTTGACAGGGTGCACTGGGGCTTCCTCCTCGTGGTTCTGAAATTTGGATTTCCAAGACAATTTATCTCAATAGTACAGGCTTTATACATAAACCCAACAGCTATGGATGTGAATAGCGGCTTTATGTCACATCAATTTCCTCTAACAAATGGGACACATCAGGGCTGCCCTCTATTTCCTTTACTGTACATATTAACTTTAGAACACCTGACACACTTAATAAGGGAAAATCCAAATATCCACGGTATTAAGGTCAAAGGTGCAGAATATAAACTCACGCTATTTGCTGATTATATATTGATAACCTCAGAACAACCACACCTAATTTACATAACATACTAGTCAACTAGAGCAAGTATTCATAATATAAATTTAACATAAGCCAAACCCCAGCAATGGGTATAAACATTCCTAAAGAGAAAATGACAGGTCTACAACAAACATTTGCGTATGATTGGTGTAAGGATTACCTCAAATTTGCAGGAGTTGCATTCACCTTGTCGATAACCAATTTGTACAAAACAATTTATCTGACGTTACTTAAAAATATAAAAGCCCAATTGCAAAGGTGGAAAGGGAAATATATATAGTGGACAGGCAGAATAGCTGTAACCAATATGATGATTCTTCCGAGACTTCAATATCTATTTAGAATGCTTCCCATACACCTCCCATCCACTTTCCACAAAATATCATCAACTCCTTTACATGGGCTCACACACGCGGTGGCCACACTATATAAACATTTTCAACAAGGAGGCATGGGTTTACCCAATATACGTTCTTGTTATCGGGCAGCAATCATGAGCAATTTACTCTCTTCTTCTCACTATACTGTTTCAAAACACTGGGTCCATATAGGAGCACAACATACGAACAGACAAGAACTGACATCACTAGCGTGGATACCCAAAGATGTAAGACCAAGATATACTAATATGCTCCTTACAACAATCCTTATACTCCAAATATGGGATGAATATTTTGCAGCCGAGCGCTTGTCCTGGCTTAACTCATGAACAGGCTTCCTTTTTGTACCTCCTTCACTATTCTCAACTTAAACTATTTTTGAAGACATAGGTTCTATCAATATGGAAACCGCAAATTTTATACCCTTTAAAATTATTACGCCAACTCGAAACCAATCTCATGAGACCTTTGTCTACAGCTAAGTACATGGCTTAATAGAAAAGGGGAGGTGTATTTCCAATCAACATGGTACAAAGCATTGAACATACAAATTGGAGATAAAGATTGGAAATATATTGTTCAAAAGGTGATGTCCAACCC